CTGTTGACCTTGCAGTTCAAATGGCTTTGCAGTCTGGCACATTAACCCACAGCGCCACACCAGGACTGGTCCCTCCTGATAATATGTCCTGAATATGAGAGACAAAGTCTCGCCATCCAGGCTTCTAAGAAGCATTCTGACTGTACTTTCAACACAGATTTGTTCTTCCAGCAGTCCATGGTACTTGCAATACTTTTCTCTAAGATCATAACTTAAATGGATCAATTCTTTTCCAGTCTTTGATAGGCATTAGAGATCTACAGCAGAAGGTAGATCCCATTTAAGGAGCTCTAATGGAGTCCTGGTGTGGTGCTGTGAGTTAATGCGCCAGACTGCAAAGCCATTTGAACTACAAGCTCGGTGGTTCAAGCTCACCAGTCGCTCCTTGGAAACCCTATGAAGGGTCGCTATGGGTCGGAACTGACTCAATGGCACTTAACAACAACAACAACAAAGTGGTGCAGTGGGAGTCTTGGTATGGCCCTGTAGATTAATGCATCAGACTGCAAAGCTGTTTGAACTGCAAGGCTGGCGGTTCAAGCTCACCAGCTTCTCCTCGGAAACCCTATACAGGGTCACTATGGGTTGGAATCGACTCAACAGCACTTAACAAGTGGTGCAGTGGGTAAACAATTGGTTGCTAATCAAAAGGTCCACAGTTTGAATCCACCAGCCACTCTCCAGATGACTTCTCCATCTCCTGTAATAATTACAGTCATGGATACCCCATGGGGTGTTTCTATTCTATCCTCGGAGTAACCCAATGAGTCAGAATCAACTCAAGGGCCAGTTGTTTGTTTTTGAAATAATAATACTGATAGTAATGGAGAAGGCTCCTTTCGTTTTAGCCCTTATTCCTTGGTGTGGCACTGCTGAAAGGTAAATTCCCTTCTTTTACTATTAGGAAGGTGCATCTGAGTTTAGATTTCTAAAGCCTGATAAATAAGCTGAATACTTATACTATGAATCTCTAAAAAAAAGTGATAGCTTTGCTTCGCCAGGTCTAGTAATAAAAATGTCACAGATAACAAGCAGCATCCTGCTGAAGAAGTAGCTGTAAACTCATAAATCTCTATGAAGGATCCAAGACCAACACCAGAGCTGTTATGGGTAACATTTATTACCTGGTCTGCCCAAAATATTTCTGAATAAATACATTTAGAGACCAAAAAAAAAAAAAATAACAATAATAATAATAATAAAATAAACTGTTGGAAACAGCAGTGTATAAAATTCTTGTTTTCTTTTCTTCGTTATAATCATTCTAAACTTAAAACATCAATCCTGAATTCAGACCCTGGCAGGAGACAGACAAGGGCTTTGCAAACTGAATTCCTCAGGAAAAGTTAATTAGGACAATTATCTGAATTGTAGCAACATTGAGGGAAACAGCCAGATTTTTAAAATAGTTTTCTTTTGGTTTAAGGTTTTGCCTTCATATAAATAAGTCCTTAAGAGAAAAGAGCTGTGTCCTATATATGTTGAAATGAGGCTTTACCTAATAAAATCCCATTTGAAAATTTAAGGAAAATATTTTCTGAATTGTTAAGTTTTTTATATTTTTTTATACCCTAGATATTTTTATTTCCTATTCATCATTTTTTATGTTACCTTTAGATCACTTCAGGTCTATATATAATTTGCTAGCAATACAAGATTCATTAAACACCTTCAAATGAAAATTGCTGATGTTTTCTCCTGTATCATCAGTTTTACAAAACTGAAAAACTTCGCAACACTTGATTCTCAAACTGGTCTTCCTTCATATAATAAAAACAGGGACTCACATTAATTTGGTTTAGTCTTCTATTTGTTTAATTAATCCTGTTTCACCAATAAATAAAAATAAAATTCAGTTATCTACATTTCACTTCTATGAATAAACATTTTTTTTTTTTAACACAGCTCAGACCTACTCACTCAGTCAGCTAAAGTATAGACTGTTTCCTTTCCCTCCTTCAGCAGAATCCAAAAATGGGTCTTCAATCAGAATAGGACCTGAGGATTTAGACACTTTCATAAAGCATTTACTGATGGTCAGGTGACTTCAACACAAACCATGACAAGAGACACAATAAAACAAAAAGTTTATACAGAAAGCACAATCAGCAATAAAAACTAAACACAATGTCATTAGGTCAATTCCAATTCAGAACGACCTATAGGACAAAGGAGAACTGCTCCAGAGGTTCCTGAGGCTGTAAATCTTTACAGAAGCAATACACCTCATCCTTCTACTGTGGAGCAACTGGTGGGTTTGAACAGCTGACCTTTGGTTAGCAGTCCACCATTTAAGCCACTGGCCTCCAGGGCTTCTTATAATCAGCAATAGCCACTGCCGATGAGTGGCTTCTGTGAATCTTTAATGGATCAGACTCATCTTTCTTCTGTGGAGTTGCTGGTGGGCTTAAGCCACCGACCTTGTGGTTAGTGTTGTTGTTGATGTGTGCTATGTCTGTTCTGACTCATAGTAACCCTTTATAGGGTTTCTTTGCTGCTAGCAGTCCAGTGTTTATCTATCTTACAAGCACCATACCAGGACTTCTTTGTGGTCAGTAGTCTAGTGCTTATCCATTATCAGCAATGCAGAACAAAACTGTGTATATTTTTCCATGTCTTTCTGAACCTCTGAGTCAGTATTATTCAATAGGGTTATAGTGAGCATCATCCAGCTTCTTCTAGAGTCCATACAGTTTCTGATTTTTATTGAACAATTCAAATACCCGTCTCCTCTCTTTTCTACTATCTTCGGATTTCTCCTGGTTTCATTTCACCATTAGCCCTCAGTAACACACAGCATAGTTCATCACCATCTTCATTTCTGGCACCTACAAGAGCACATTCATGTAATTACCCCAAGTCACACCACCACCAGCCGAAGTCACTCAGGTATCCCATAATCCTCAGAGACACAAACTGCAGACATCACAATCAGACTTCATAATACAGAAAAGTCACTTGCTCATTTGGCCAATTCCTCCCCGTTCGTACTCTCCTACCTCAATTGCCAGTCCCAGTCCCATTTCAGAGTGAGCCCACTGATCCTGGAAACAGGTTATTGGCAGGTACAACAATTACAAAGAGGCTGGAAGACGAAAAATAATTCTGAGGTGCATGCCCCAGCCTTTCCTAACCCCTTACCATGTCACAGTGATGTGTCTGATGACTGAGTATGTTTCTTAAAGTTGTGACTACTTTGCCCATCCTGATTCTCAAAGAGCAAAAAATTGTCATGGGGCAAGCGTTTCCAGTTACTGGGGGACTTCATATAGAAGGTGTTTATAACGTGCTGGATCATTGCAATGGGAAGTGGGGTTTGAGTGATGAGTGCAGTTCCTATGAATCAGTGTATTTAATTTTTTACTCTCTCTCCGTATTTTATTGTTTTAACTGTAACCTTAGTAAGGCTATCATCCTGGGCAATGGCTTGCTGCTTGGCCCACAGAGCAAGTGATACAGCTTGCTAGGCACAGTTTCCAAGAGTCTGGCTGTGACTATGTTGGAGGTTTTTTCCTAACAATAAAAACAAAATGTCATCTGGGAGCATGCCTGAGCCAATCACGACTCAGAGCTGCCTAAATGTCTGGATGCCTGGAAATATGCTAAAAATGCTTCACACATTGCCTCTCTTCAGGAGTGCTGGTAACCAGAATGATGGCAAAACACCAAAGAGATACTGAAATTTCGATCAGCAACTCATTTCACTTCATCTAGCAAATAAGCATATGACACTGGCTAAACAGGATGGCCAAACTTTGTCTCTCATACTTCGGACATATTGTCAGGAGGAACCAGTTGCTGGAGAAGGATATCATGTTTGGTAAGATGAAGGGCCAGAGAAAAAGAGGAAGACCTGCAACGAGATGGACCGGCCAAGTAGCAGCATTGAAGGACTCAAGTGTGGCAACAATAGTGAGGTTGGCCCAGGATCGGGCAGTGTTTCATTCTGTTGTGCATAAACAAGGTCACTATGAGTTGGTACCGACTCGATAGCACCTAACAACAACAACAATGCGTAGCTCAAGGATCTTTGGTAGCATAATGGCTAGAATTCGGGCTGCTAACTTCAGGGTCAGTGGCTAGAAACTACCAGCTGTTCCGCGGGAGAAAGATGAGGCTTTCTGCTCCCGTAAAGATTTACAGCCTCGGAAACCCTGTACAGGGTCGCCATGAGTCAGAACTGACTCCATGGCACACAGCCACCACCAATGCCTAGCTCAAATGTCTGTCTAAACCACAAAGTGACAGTTCAAGCCCACCAGCCTCTCCTCAGGAACCCTATGAGTTGCTATGAGTCGAACTGACTCAAGCGTACTTAACAACAATGCCTAGAGCTCACCACTCTGGGTTGAATTCAGTTTTGTCTGATAATGATTTCTGTAAGTTTCCTTTTATCTTAATTACTTTATTATCTCTTTAATATGGGAATAATTTCAAATGTATTTTTTAAACCTTTTTATTTTTTATGACTAACATCTTAAAGCTTTAAAACACTCAAACTCAAAAAAACTCTACTTTAGTACTTAGCCAAGTTACAAAAAAATGAAAAAATTAGCAAGAAAACAGATAAGCACCATTGAGAATTAAATGTATGCCTTATTATGGGATGGATGCTTAAGTTAGTTTTCACAAAATAGATTAACAATTGGTCCTACTATGGTAAGACCGCCTAGTGCCCAATAATAATATCTCATATTCAAGTCAAAGAAATCCTGTGTATGCCGGTCACTAGAAATGTTTTGCTGTAGAAGCAAAGGCCGATGGCAATCACGGTCCTTTCAAAGGAAAGATGTAGACTGGTTGTGGTTTCTTCAACACCATTCCACATGGTGTTTTTTCTAAACGAAAGCTACAACAGGAATGAAAACACTCAGTGGCTTCTGATTTGGGAAATAAACTTTTCTTGCCAGGCAAATAAATTGCATGGTTAATTTTGTTTGTTCATGTGTTCTTTTCCATATAAAATGCTAAGGTAGACTCTTACAAAGCTCACACCAGAATTAACTCTGTACAACAAGAGCATCGTCCTCTACCAAGGATAGTTCCAGCGTGTTTTCATTAGTACCAGTTTTCATCCTGAAGTTGAAAGAACCATACAGTTTTGCAGACTCTTTGGAAGAGGCAAATCGGTTTCGACGATACAGCTCCCCCTTCCACATAGACATCATCAGCAAACAGGACAGAACGACGCCTCCAAGTGTGAGGAGGCAGAGTCCAGCAATCACACAGCGGTCCAGGTGAGCCCCCAGCCTTGCACTCTCCTTCTCCAGCCTTTCCATCTCCCGGGCGGCCACAGTGTTGGGGTCCACAGTCACATCCCGTGGGACAATGTAAGAAATAATCACCAGCAAGATCCCCGTGACTAAGAACAATATGGCGCTGATGAAGCCATAGTCTACGGACTTCCCTGATGATGTGGCTTCAGAACTTGTGTCATCTTCATCTTCGGATATCAAAGACATGGCAGGCTCATGGGGCCACTCGTTTGGATTTCCCCAGCCAGGAGTTCCTGGGTGATTCCTCCCTTTTGTGGAAGGAGAGCTCTGGTTCCACTGCTCCAAGTTGACATTCTCGTCCACATAGGTAAAAGAAGTTTCCAATTCCTGGCTGCAGCAGCTGCAGACTTTCCGTTCTTCTATTATTTGTTTGTTCTCGGGGTTGACAGGTTCTGGTGGTAAGGGGTCTGGCTGAATACCACAGTCCTGTACAGAGGAAGAAGGGGGAGCTGGAGAAAGGCTCAGTTTAGATGATTCCAACACTGTTGCTCTTGGTGTGGATGTGCAGTGTCTCTGGCAGCAGAGGGCAGCTCTAGTGGCTGCTGCATCTGTCTGGTCCCCAGGAGGCCCTCCTGAACTCCAGTCCACAGCATCACACAGGTCTGCCTGGCTGCTCTTCTTAGCAAGGGAGTGGAGCTCCATCAGAGCTACTCAGACATCTCCCAGCAGCTTCTGGAAATTCTGCCAATAGCAAAACAGTTAGATAAGAACCGCACAGAAGCTAAGACTGCACTAAGAAGGGTTGCTTCCTGAGGTCCCTATAACCCTTTGCAGCCAATACCCTACCTCCTTGTAAAAGGGGGAAAAGAAGGCCAAGGATACCTAGGGGCAGGCAAGTGTGTTTAGGGCAGATCCTGACTTAGCACAGCGGTTAACACTGAGAAGATTAGGTCAGGGTCGAAAAGTTACAAGGAGGAAGTGGCAGTGTCACTGGAGAAAGCACTGCCGTCACCCAAGCCAAATTTATCCAAGGACTCACACATTTCTGTGACAGGATCCCTCAAATGAGAAGGCAGGTTTCCTGTACAGAGACACAAATGAGAAAAGCAGAGACCCTTTTTAGCAGAACTGCTGATTTTCTGGAGAATCTAGGAAAACATAAGGTTCTTAACAATTCGGCTGTAGTTCAGAATAGATTCTAATGCAGATTCACTTTAGTGGAGTCCTGGTGTAGCATTGCAGGATCAAAACTGTACTGTGAACCACAAGATTGTGGGTACAAACCCACTAGCCACTCCTTGGCAACCCTATACAGGGTCGCTATGACTCAAAACCAACTCAATGGTACTTAACAGCAACAAAACAACAGGGGGTGAACTGATGATTTGCTACCATCAATCATAGCTCTCCTGAAGTATTTTGACTGGGTATCTCCTTAAGTGGGTAGAAGTTGTTGTTGTTATGAGTCGTGTTGTAGCTCTGCTGGATCAGCACTGGACTGGTAACCATGAGGTCGGTGGTGTGAACCCACCAGCCACTCCTTCGAAATCCTATACGGCCTCACTAGAGTCAGAACTGACTCAAGGGCACTTAACAACATCTCAGAAGTGGGTGGAAGAGGGCCACTTTAACCAACCACCTCTACTAACTTTACTTGTTTACATGCATCCAATAATGACCCTCCTCACACACACATATACAAACACACACACAGCCCGGTTTTTCTAGACTGTGAGTTAGCTCATTGTGCTTCCATTCAGCACCATCCCTTCACTGCTACAGGGATGTTTAGGACAGCTTGTTGTGGACCTGGAAGTAGCAGACAACACACCCACTATGATCCCTGGGAAATGCAACAGGCCAGCCCACCTTTCCATGATCACACAACAGGCTGCGCCAGGTAACTTTCAGCTACTCCTGGACAGTGAGTCTGACTTCTTCCTCTCCCCATTGACCACTCAGAAATGTTCGCAAACCTATTCCAGATTTTTTTGTAGAATGACAAAAAAAAAGCATACCATAAAATTTAAAAGCTAGGGTTCTGTTGAGACTATAAACAGGTAAGCAGCTATTTCCAAGGTTCCCTTTCTTTAATTTCATAACCATGACATTTCCTCACCCCACTGCAGCAAGGGACCTTTCTGAGACAGTACTCTGGGTTAAGCAGAAAACCATGTGTCTCTCTCTCTCTGCCTCTGCCATATTTCCCAAGGAATAAAATTCACTTCCCACCTACCTGCATTTCAAACAAGGGTCCCTTTTATTTTACTTCAAATCAATTGCGATATTTGACTTAACCCATTGCTTTAAGCTTGTTATGTTTGAAAATCCACAGCTCCAACAGCTGGTAACCCACACAGATGCACGTACGAGGGCTCACGCCTAAAGTCAGTCTTAAATATTGGAGAGCGACTAGCCATTTCTGTTCTACATCAGAGTTTGGGTTTTTAGTAACAGTACTTTCCAATTATCACTGTTTCTCAGCAACTAAAACAAAAAATATCAGTGTATGAAAATCAGAACTGAACCATATTTCTCCCCCGGCAAACGGGCAGCCCCTACTGCAGAATCCCTCAATGAATGAAGCAATGGTCAGTGTTCCATCAGTTTCCGATATGAGAACTCTTCTTCCAATTCCTTCAGTCATATAGGTGCTCTTAGGAACCTTTGACACAATTAACTCATCGAATTAGACTACTCTGCATAAAACCTAGAGGGTCCTTTAAGTGATTTCCAATTCTTAACAATGGGGGATAGAAATCTCCACTTGGGCACTTAAGTCTTTTTTTGGGGGGGTCTTTATCTCTGAGGAAAAGAAGGCTCTCGCTTGTTTCATCAGATTTATTAGCTCTCAGTCAATTTCCTTTGCAGCACTGTAATCCGGGGCTTCCATCCTCAATGGAGAATGGGTAATCCCAGGGGATCAGCTAAAGGATCTTTTCTTTCGTCCCCTCCCTCTTTTTTCTCTGATCTATTTAAGAGCCCATTTAACAAAACTGCACCTCAGAGCTAGAACACTGCACTTTCCTCTGTCCGGCAGCAATCAATTTAAAGCAATAATATTTGCAATGGAACTAACTGGTACAGACGAGGCTGGTCCGGGAAAGGAAACCTCGGGATTCGTCCTGCGCGCTCTGTGCGGGAAGGGCGCGCCGTCGGCATCGAGCCGTGGAGTCCCTCGCGGGAGCTGAGAAATCAACCAATTCATTCCGGGTGAACTCTGCACCCGTTAGGGGCACCCGGAGTTGGGCAGCGTCCGCCGGGAATCCGGAGGCAAGGCAGGCAGTTTAGGCAGAGAGTGGGGATGCGCGCCTCTGCTCCTCTAGGTTCCCGGTCTGTCTCTCTCTCCCAGTTCATCTTCCTTGTGCACTCTCTACCACTTACCTCCTACTTGGGCCACTCGGAGCCGCTCGAGTATCGCGCGCGTGGCCCTGCGCGGTTCCTTGGGAAAGTCTCCCAATAACCAGCCGTGGCACTTGTAGCCTCCGCGCTTCGCTCCGCCGGCTGGGCAGCGCCCGCGGTGCCGGGCTGGGCGGGACGGAGCTGGGCGGGGCGGGGCGCTCCCTCTTGCTGAGCATCCCGGGAGATGTAGTCCAGGGGCTGTCTCCCTGTATCTGGTCTCTGTTTCATCCCACATGGATGGATGGTCTCACCCATCCAGAAGATCAGTTCCCCTGTACTTTTGTCTGGTATTTTAGAAGGAAGAGATGTCTCCTAAATTCTGGGCGGGGACCACAGCTTCAGGTGTGGTCATAGAACTGTAGGAAAAGAAGGGTAAGGGAGGGGCTCCAACTATTTCCCAGGCAGTTAGTATATTTTCTTATTTAATAAAATAACATTTCAAAGTTGACTTTATTAATCCTCATTTTACAGATGAGGTAACAGACTCACAGAGATTAAGTACTTCATACAAGGTTTCAAAGAAATAAATTAAGTGCCGTCAAGTGGATTCCGACCCATAGAGACCCTGTATAGAGTTTCCGAGGAACAGCTGGTGAGCTTGACAAATGACTTTGCAGTTCAAACAACTTTGCAGTCTAACGCATTAGCCCACAGCGCCACACCAGGGCTCCCAAAGAAATAAGTGGGGCTTCTAAAATAGCATCTAGCTATCTGATAGCGTAGTGATTCCGAATCGGGCTGCTAACCTCAGGAATTATTGTTGTTGTTGTTATGTGCCGTGGAGTCGGTTCCGACCCATAGAGACCCTGTACAGGGTTTCCAAGGCTGTAAATCTTTACGGGAGCAGAAAGCCTCATCTTTCTCCCATGGAACAGCTGCTAATTTCGAACTGCTATTCCTGAGGTTCAGGAGCTCTGGTAGCGTAGTGGTTACGAATCGGGCTGCGAACCGCAAGGTCAGCAGTTCGAAACTACCAGCTGTTCCGCGGGAGAAAGATGAGGCTTTCTGCTCCCGTAAAGATTTATAGCCTCGGAAATCCTGTACAGGGTCGCTATGAGTCGGAACCGACTTCACGGCACATAACAACAACATCTGATTCCAAAGTCACTGTCTTTCTCACAAAATCAGGAGAAATGTGACCAATGTCCTGTTAATTAGTGTATCCCCGGTATTAACAGAATATCAGCATCTGCTGAATGAATGAATTAAAGTGATTCCAAATAACAAGTAATGCTGTTGATGTTGATAAGTGCCTTTGAGGCGGTTCTGACCGATAGTGACCCTCTATAAGGTTTCCGAAGAGAAACTGGTGAGTGTGAACTGCCAAACTTGTGGTTCAAACCAACCTTGTGGTCCAGTGCTTATCCTACAACGCCACATCCGGACTCCAACAAATAACATACATAGCACAGATCAGACTCTGATCTCAGCGCTTTAGGTATATTAACTCATTAATGGTTGTAATTATTAAAATCCTAGAAAACCCTCTATTTTTTTTTGAGAAGAGGAAGCTGAGTTATAAGTAAATTGAGTAATTGGTCAAAGTAACTCAGCTAAGATGGGACATGAACTCCAACAGGTTCTAAGCATTATGCTATGTTGAATGGATGCAAGATTGATCAAACTACAAGAAGAAAGGAAGTCAGAAGTAAAAGAAAACTGGAGGCTGGAGCTACTGGGTCGTAACTCTTAGGACAGGACAAAGTACATCCTTAGAGTCACTGTGATGGTTAATGCTATGTGATGGTTATTGCTGGGCTAGGTTTTGACAGACTATATAATCACCTTCCGTTTTGTGATCTGATGTGAGCAGCCAATCAGTTAAAAGAGGAGTTTACTTGGAAGTGTGGCCTCCCTCAAGCATATAAATGAATGTTCTGCCAAAACTCATTCTTTTCTCTACCCTGCAATTTTATTACCTCAAGACCTTCAGTTCTTGAGATGCAAGCCTATAGAACTCACTGGCCTTCTATTTGACCCACAGATTTTGAATTTACCATCTCTGGCAAACCCGTGAGCCAGCAGAGTCCTTCAGCCTGCCACCTGACCTAGAGATTCTGAGTTCATCAGACCCTGCAATTACATGAGGATATGTCTTTTACCTTGCATGACCCATGAATTAGGACTTTCCAGTCCCCCCAATCGGATAAGCCATTTCTTCAAATTTGTTTGAACCATTTCCTTGAAGTAAATTTCTTTCTCTGTTCATCAGGGTAATACACTAGCTAGACCTCAAGGTCGGCTTGAACCACAAGGTTGGCAATTCAAACTCACCAGTCACTCCTCGCAAATTCTCCACA